TAAACAAACCAACTGTCAAACTCATGACCATCCGCGGTTATTTTTCCCGCACTTCTCCGGCCCTTTCACTTTTTCTGCATGGCCAGAATTAGTAAAGTGGATGGTACAAAATGCAAGCGAGTCAGTTTGCTACTTCATTTAACTGGTGGGTGTCAAAGTATTGTTGGGTTTAATTAGCGGTGCTTTACAGCTATTTTTTTTTTGCTTCCATCCGCCCGATGCTCCAGAAATGGAACTATAGTTTAAACAGAGTTGAAACATTTTTCCTGTACAGTGTCATTTGCGTTGACTGCTTTACCATTTAACTGTTTGTCGCTTCTGTTTGACGGTGTCGCGAATAAATGACAAAAATTTAAAACTGAGGAACAGCTACCGTAGATGCTCTTTTGGGATGCCCAGATGAGTTCTTGTTCCTATTCACTCACGTACTATGGATGAAGTTAGTCTCATACGCTCCACAGTGCCAATTGGTAACTCTCTTTGCTACCCTTTTATGACTCTGAGGTCTCGGATTACAAAGCTTTTGACCTCCAATGACGACTGGAGTCTACTAATAGATCTATGTCTGTAATACAAACGCTAACTTCTTATCTGCAAAAATCTCCTTTTTTTTCCAAAGTAAGCGGTAGTCAAGCGTGGCGCGCACGACGATAAAATATTAAACGAACTATTTATTTGCCATAAGAAAGTAACAACCACTGAGTATCCTTGAAAATAATGCCTGTATTGTCGAAACCACCGACAATATTAATAACTGAAAGACTATTTGTTTCCCTACAGTGTCCCCTTGTGGGAACTTATTCCGATTGATTGATATTATTTTTACTTACTGCGGACGACTGTGGTTGGCAACGTTCGCAGTACTCTTTGAGTACTGTATTTATTTGACTTTATTTGACTGTTTCCTTTTTTGGATTAATACCTTGTCAAGCACAACAGTGGCTTAAGTAATATAGTTTATTAACACGTAATAACATAATGATGATGAGAAAGGAATCGCTAGGCACAGGCCTGGCTCCTTCTGTATAAGCAAATGTTATTAGAATAAACCACTGAAATAATACAATAAACTGCCAAATGGGCACGTTATAAAGTTTAAATGAATAATCGGGCACAACCCAATTTAAATTTACTGATTGAAAAGCTGTATGAAAAACTGTTGTGAAAACTGTATGAAAAATCGTATGGAAAAACTGACCCCCGTATTTGTGGCAACGCCTTATGTAGTGTTTGTAGAGCAGACTGACCAGCTAATTACCCTCCAGAAGCGTCGTCCTGTGGATAAGTAGTGGCTGTCACTGTATACTGTAGTTTGAGGTTGCCTTTCGCGTATTGTTGCGACATGTATGTCAATACAAAGAAGGAAGTGGCAAGCAGCTAATCGTATCCTATCGCAACGAATAAAACAAGAGATCAGGAAGGAGAACAGTCGTTGTAATCTTCATCCGACAAGGAACAAAATGTTTAAGCAAAATTACAACGGGAGATACGACAGATCTAAATTCCAGCTACTGGTTACACAGAACGAGCAACTAAAAGCTGCCTATTTGGCACAAAAAAAACCTGTTTCAAACAAGTCAAATCGAAAAACGTTAAAGAGGAAGATTTAAAAAGCATCTAAAAAATAAATGTAGGCTTTTAAATGAGACAACAAATTCCAGAAAAATAGCAGTAGTCCAATACCGATAACTGGAGGAATCAAATGGCGATAACCAGCTACCGACGGACCAACTGGCTGGTGGGTTGGCAAAGGTTCTAATATCAAAGTGCCTTTAAAGTTGTTTGCAATTTTTAATGGGTTGGACATGTTTTCATTAACGGTTAAAAAACTGAAGTACACTTTTATTTACGTGAGCCGCTCGTATAAACGCTAGCAGGTGTCAATGAATCATAAAGAGCTTGAACTTCCCCGGTGTTCTTAGGTTTCAGCTTCCTTTTCATTAATCACTGTTTCGTCCAAAGTTTGTTCCATTTAATTTTAGAACTGTCGTATATGCTCAAATAACGTATATTCAAATTCTTAATTCTCTTCCAAAAACGTAGCTTAGCGGTATCCAGTATGAGGGCAAAAGTCAAATGGTACTGTCCGTAACTTTCTGTTTAGTAAACGGATTGTTGCTAAATGATTTCGCAAAACCTTTAACTGCAAAAACAACTAGTTAAGACTGAAGCTCAAAATATGTGTCGTAGCCGACCTTTACCTCGCAGAGTTAAACCATATTTGGTACTTCCGCAGACTTCCGGTGCCTATGGGGCCCAGCTGATTCAGACGGTGAGGCGCAGAAACTGCTCAGTTATTGGCTCTTGAGTAAAGGATCTCAAGGTACAAAAAATTTACGGATCTTTATCATATTTTTAGTGTTTTTCCTTTATAATATGCGAAAAATGCAAAAATATCAAGAGTAAAAAAATGATAAATAAAAAAGTGAAAGGGAATAAGGTCTAGAAAGAGAAACAGAAGGTTAACAAGGAGTCACTTCACGATTTCTAGTCTTTTGGCTCAGTTTTTGAAAAACGGGATAGCGCATTTCTAATACCATTTGCTAATATTGCTACTCATGGATTATTTACTCTGCTTTTTTATTTCAGTTCAGGAAATTTATTTGGATTGTGTTTTAATTAGTGGAAACCGTTTAAAATATAATAACCTCATTAGGTCGTACCTAGTAGCCTTCTAATTTTGTAAACTTTTTTATTTAAGACACCCGTTTCTGATGATTGAGGTTAGCAGCTAGCGGAATTTTGCTTTAAAAGTTTTTTCCGTTTCTTGTTCCCAAAGTATGGCAACTGAAGTAAACCGCGCAATTATTACTATCGTGCGAAGTAGAATAATGTGCACAAAGAATAAAACTATCCGCAGTATCTTGCAGCGATTTTCTTTTCTTAAAGTATAGGCTTTTTACAAATATTTTTTCGCACAGAAACAGCAGAAAATGATCTGTAATATGTATTCTGAAATTTGAAACATTTAATTGCCACTTTTGGTCTCTTCATAAAATTGCACTTTTGCTCTTATTTACCAATTTTAGCTTTTAATTTTAATCTTGATTAGTGCAGTTATTCACCCGCTCTCAATCTTTTTCTTACCATAAAATACTTCACAGTTGCTATTTCTTCTTATGATAAACCAAATTATTTACTTTCTACTCAACATTTAATTCGTTTCTAATCACATCTTAACCAGAAATGTTTCGCTTTTATCTTAACTAATACTTTTACACCAAATAAGTTTTCGTTTCCAAAGTGAATAGTTTTTACCCAGAATAGTTTTTACGTTGCGCAACTTCTAACCTTTGTCACCAAATCTTTTTTCACCTCTTGTGATATACCTATTTTTGAATTTTAGATAAATTTTAGTAACTAACTGTATATATAAGAATAGTCTTATTGGTACTTGTTTAAATCTTCTACTTTAACATAAGATATAGTAACAAAATGAATACGAGCTGTATTAAATTCTTCTATATATGTTCCACACAAATATCATTAATAATTTTAAAGCTTTTGCACTTTTTTTCGTAGTCTGCTTTTTTAGCAACGCTGTTTTGATGCTTTCCAAATCGGTGGTAATTTTTTGCTAAAAATAAACTCTGATCTTGCTGTTTCTTATTACGTGTTACACAACATTAATAATTCTAACCTTTAATACATTAACAAGTCATAAATTTATTCACACTTGTGCTTTAGTATGGCTTTCCCCATTCAAGAGTCTAACCTATTGCTTTAGCACACGTCAATGACCACATGTCTTTCTTCATTAACCTTTTATTTACTAATAATATCCGCAATAGAGCAGCTTTAGCCTACTGGGAAGCAGTACTGTAATTGGGATTATTAGAGCAGTAATGTTCACGGCGTTGATCTTATGTGAAACCAGTCTGCTGATGAGGTCCAAGGTTATCTCATCTATTTCCCAATGTAATGCGGATGAATGTTCAGAAGGGACCACACGTTTTAGTACA